ACTTTTTTTCTCGCAATTGCGAGTTTATATCACGCAATTCTGAGAAAAAAAGTCAGAACTGTGAGATAAAAAGTCGCAATTACCTTTTTTTAATTTATTATTCAGTGGCGGAAACGGGCTTCCATACTAAGACTACTTAAATTTTAAAAAAAATAATAATAAATGGTTAGTAAATAAAATATAAAAACTTGTCTTGCAACATTTCTAATTTTAATGTAGTTTAACTTGATCTACTAAAATAACTAAACTAAATAAAATAATTTAAAAAAAATCAAATTCGTAATATTATCAAAAACTATAAGTATATCAGTGATGCTGAAATAAGAGTAGTTTGAGCGTCTTCATCTGTTAAAACTGAACATGTTTCTCCGCACTGAAGATGATGGAGATTTCAATGTTCCTCTGCTCGTCTTTCTAAACATCTGAGCTCTTCCACACACTGAGATTCAGGAATAGCAGCATGTGTCCTCCTCTAATCGCATGTAATTACATGCTTCCATCCGTCTGTGTCTCAGTCTCAGTCTCGTCTGGATATATATGTGTCACTGAATATCCCAGTGTGCTGCACTTCCTCTTCCTGTGGGGATAAGCGTTTGTGTAAGACATCCAGTCGGCCGTATGAAGCGACCGCATGAGCCTCACAGAGACAGGCGTCCTCTGGCTTCAGGAACCACAGAGTGTTTTTATAGAGCGACTGGCCCATCGGGACGTTTCTGTCTGATAAACCTTCTCCTTCTTCATCAGAGCGCGTGTGTTTCCATCAGCTCTCACTTCCAGTTCCTGCTGAAATCAGCCGCTGCTTTCAGCTAGTCGTGTTCAGTCATAACAGGACAGGAGGATCGTGAGATTCAGAGGAAGTGTGTCGTGACTGGCTGAGACTGATTAAACCAGTTACAGTCACACCATCTTCATCAGCAGCGACGAGCCGAACGAACCCAAAGACCTTCAGCCACCATACGGCAAAAAATTAAATATATTTTTAAATATGTTTCAAAATGGCTAAATACATATGTGTTTCAAAATATATTTATGTTAATATATTTTCTACCAGTATATATTTTTTGTATATTTTAAAAATATATTTTTAAATATTTATATAAATATTTAGTCATATTTATAACAAATTGCCAAAATATATATATAAATATAACGTTTAAAAGTTTAACATTTTAACTTGAACACTTGAATGTGTTCGAAATTCTGCAAAAGACACAAGATGCGAGAACAACTTTAAGCAAACGTTCTATTGACGTTACTGGAAGAACGTTTAGAGAACCTTGCCAGAACATTCTGAGAACATTCCCTGTTAGGCCCAAAGTACGTTGCACTTTTTACGCGTACGCTAACGTATGCGTACAGTGCGCGTGACGCAAATTACGTTACCAGAATAGTACGCGCGCACTATACGCGCACCACCTGATTTTTGTAACCGTACTTTGTACGCGCAGGTCGCACATGCGCATTGAATTTGTTTTGCACTAATCAGTTGTTCCACAAGGTGGCAGCACTGTAGAAAACAAAACTAAAGTGATGGAACAACAACAACAAAATATGCGTTCGACTGTGTGCATACGCTAACGTATACACGTACAAAAATGAAGTATACTTTGGGCTTTAGTGCATGTTCTGTTAGAGTAGCCCTTGAATGCATTTTTCCATTCGATTGAGCTACTTTTCCATTGTTTTTCTCTGTAAACATGCGCTAGACAGACGTGTATGACCGTTGCGCTCACATCTCGAGTCTTTTGCAGTGTCTCGCACATAAGCGCCATGTTTTTAAGACGCTGTGTCAAGTTAAAAGAATTTCAATTTCTACACGCAGCGCTGCTCATCAATGTCAGTTCCAAAACAGTGAACCAATCAGAAGAGCCCGGAGGCGGGGCAAGCTTTTGTTTACAGTAGCAAGTTGGCATGGCAATAATCAGTTGTTCCACAAGGTGGCAGCACTGTAGAAAACAAAACTAAAGTGATGGAACAACAACAACAAAATATGCGTTCGACTGTGTGCATACGCTAACGTATACACGTACAAAAATGAAGTATACTTTGGGCTTTAGTGCATGTTCTGTTAGAGTAGCCCTTGAATGCATTTTTCCATTCGATTGAGCTACTTTTCCATTGTTTTTCTCTGTAAACATGCGCTAGACAGACGTGTATGACCGTTGCGCTCACATCTCGAGTCTTTTGCAGTGTCTCGCACATAAGACACGTTCTGTGTGTTATTCTGCCCACTGCAGCACTGAGAGAAAGTTTAATAAGAAAAACCACAGTTTTAATGAGCAGTATTCATGTGGTCCGGAATAGATTTAATAGTTTTGACCTTTAGTTGACTCTCACTTCACTTTACAGTCTCAGAGCAGATACGATGCAAGTGCTGCTCTTCCTCAGAATCCGTCTTGTTTTCTGCAAATCTCTACAGATTCGTGATCTAAGTGAGGGGTTTGAATCTCTCTTTCTCTGGTTCTGTGCGGTCTATATTAACCTCCAGCCGCAGTGAGACTCTGTGCTTCTGTGAGTGATGTTTAACAGCTGCTTCACTGCTCCACCCGTCTCCGCTCCGCTCGTTTCTGTCTGTTGCTTCGCTTAAACTCTGTTCATTGTGAGAAAAAGCACCTTGGAAGAAACTCACTAGTTTGACTTTATATGTAGATTAAATGTGTTTTCATTTCAGGCCATGAGAGTAACGAGCAGTTCTCTGATGTGATGTTATGGATTAAATCTAATCGTCAGATCTTTATATTTAAATATCATAATTAGTTTGACACAGATTGCATAAACACACTGAATAGCCACTTTTTGGACAAAACAGGTTGTTAAAGTCATCAGACCCTTACGGCACAAAAAATAATACTTTTTCAAATAAATTTTTTAATATATTTGAAAATATATTTAATATACTGTATATTTTACAAAGCATTTATAAATATACTTTGTCCCCCACATATTTCAATCTAAATTTTTTTTTAAAAAATCACATTTGAAGTCAAATTTAATTTTTTTGCCTAGAACAATGTGAACATATGATGCATTTGATGTTATGGCGTTTCACAAAAAACGTCCCAACTTTTCTGGAATTGAGGTTGTATGTGTATATATATATATATGAAATGTATTTTCTTGCCCCTGAAATACATTTTGAAATATATTTTGGTTGAAACTAAACATATTTTAAATTTCAATAATATATTTCCTTAAGCTTCACTGTTTAAAACGTATATTTAGCATATATTTTGTGCAGAAACATGTATATGTGTTGCTGTGTGTAGAGAATGTGTATAGGAGTGCTGCTTGTAGAGTCTGCTGAGCGTTAGACGTGTGTTTGTGTTTGTGTGCAGGCAGGCGTGTGATGTGCTCTAAACAGACTGAGTGTCTGGTGTGTTTCTGATGATCATTAATGCTTCTTCAGCTCTTCTGATCTTCTCTTCATGTGTCTGTGGCTCCGGGCTGCTCTCGGGTCATGTGACTGCTCTCAGCCAATCACAGCTCTGCATGGATCTGTGTTGATGTGGCAAATAAGTGGTTTCCTAAAGTCATGCTGCCAACCAGAGCGGACCACCAGCGCTCAGACAGACCATATATATATATATACATGCTGCTCTCACCATTTCCAGAAACACAATGCTATGTGCTGTTTCTGTTAGTTTGTTGTGTTTCCATGCGACACAGAGAGCTCTGTGTGTTACTGCAGGTGCTTGTGGGTATTTTTAACTGCTGCTTTAATTCAGTGACTCGTTAGGACACCCTTAAGACATAAAATACATCAGTAATATCAGCTTGTGATTTTTAAAGCCTTTACTTGCTGTCAAGTGTGTAATATGGGACTGCAGAGGGACATCAAACGCCGTCAAACCAAACAGATAAACTCATTTACTCACTACTAGTCACTTTGTGTTTATAATCGTGCTCTGGCAAGCTATTCTAGTTTTTTATATTTAAACTCATATTCTACATAAATATTGAAAGAGTGTTGCAGACGTTGAAGTCATGCGATATTGTGTTTAGGCTTCAAAAGTTGTGTTAATTTGTGAAGATTATTATAATGAACAAAACATTATTTTCTGCAACAATCCAAAAAAGCCAATGGAAAAATCCTGTTGGGTTTCCTCTGAAAATACGTCATCACTGCAGCCTCTCCTAAACCCCGCCCCCATAGACGTGTCAGCCAATCAGCTTACATGTATACTTGCACTGCATTCAGGGTACACTTTTGCTTTAATCAGCACACACTAACAAGCTCTGGCGCTCATGTGAAGCCTGTTTATTTAGTCCAATCCTATTTATTGGCTCATTTGTGTCGTTTCAGGAAACTGTGGGACTCAAAGATGGAGGATCCAGCCACAAGGTACGGCTTCATGTGCTGTTTGTTGTCAGTGCTGTGTGTATGAACAGACTCTCAGAGTGATGTGTGTGTGTCTGCAGGTCTGCGGTCAGTAAGAAGGCGTTCTGGGTCGAGCGGGTTCAGTGTTCGGGTACAGAGGTGTCTCTGACGCAGTGTCGGGCGCAGCTCTCCGTCCCACGGCACGACGTCCCCTGCGCCGGAGCGATGCACGCGGTGGTGCGCTGTGTCCCCGGCGCTCAGTTCTCCAGAAGCTCCGCCTCCAGACACCCGCAGGCCCCGCCCCCTCTGAACGTGAGCGCCGCACACAGTCCAGCTGCAGCTGTGAGCACTGGCTCCGGGGACGCGGCTCACGTGTCTGTGTGTTCCCGCAGGCGGAGGTGCGTCTGAAGGCCGGTGCGCGGCTGGGCGAGGGCCGGGTGGAGGTGCTCCGCGAGGGTAAGTGGGGGGCCGTGTGTGACCATCTGTGGGATCTAACAGCGGCCAGTGTGGTGTGCAGAGAGCTGGGCTTCGGCTCGGCCAGAGAGGCCCCGCGAGGAGCGCTCATGGGTCAAGGTAATGACTCCTCGCCATGGTAAAAGATTCAGAGCTGATACGAGCCGCTCGTTTCAATGCTATTTCCTCTTTCCCAGTGGCTGATGGGTCAGGGTTTGAGTTTCTCAGCCAGTCTAAACAGAACACATGACACACTCACACAGACGCAGTTCAGACGCTGCGATGGGAATGTTTAGTTCAGTCTTCATGCTCCTGTGGGAACACTGCAGTTTGGGCTGCACGGTTTTGGGACAAAATCTACTTGCAAACTATTACTAAATAAAAGTATTAAACAAAATAGGAAATATTCCTAACCCTGCACAATTTGGCCCAAAAAATTGTGATTATATATCTATATGACTAATAATAATATTATTATTATTTTATTTATTGCTATTATTATTACATAAAAATACAACAAAAATAAATAAATATTCCTAATCCTTTGGCACAATTTGGCCAAAGCAAAATGTAATAAATGTATATCAGTAACTATAAAATATTATTATTATTATTAAAGAAAAATATTAAACAAAATAATAAATATTCTTAATTAACTCCCAGCAATAAATCTAATAATAATAATGATTATATTATTACTATAAAATATGAAACAAAAAATTTCCTAACCCTTACCACCCTGCACAATTTAGCCATAAAATTGTGATTATATATCAATATAACTATAAAATCATAATAATAATTGGATTATTATTATTACTGTTTTTAATTAAAAAGATTAAACAAAATAAAAATATTTGTAACCCTAACAATTCTTATATTTAAAAAATACGATAAAAAAATTGAGTGCTTAAGATAAATAATGTCTTCATTTATTAATTTTCAGACTTGCAGCAGAGAGGCTAGGCTTATTGACAAGTATGTGTGGTGTAATGTTGGTCCAGCAGTTAGTCCAGGCCTAACCAGCATAAACCAGTCTGGAGACTCACTGAGTTACTCAGATGTTGTGGAACACAAAGGGCCCTGAATGCTTACTGCTGACCATGCACATCACAATACATCAGCACGATGATGATGAGTTCCCAACATGCTGTCATTTGTTCCATCGTCTCAGGTTTGGGGTTTTGCCCTGGTGTTTTAATGCCTCTATTTTCAGGGTAAATGTTCTGAATTATACGCTGTCAGTCTGTTCTTCAGTGGTGATGAGGAGAGTAAGAGACACGTTTGCTGGTGACTTCATGACCCAACCGTGCACAAATTACAGGGAGTGTCGTCCATACGCATGTGTCTCTCCGTCCCGTCTCTATTAAATGCTTCCATTTGGCCCGTGTGTGTAATTTACTGAATCCAGTGTCCACATCACACATGCAGGCCAGTTGCAGTTTTCTGCTGAACACAATGCGCTAATGACTATTTCTAGCAGGTAAATGGGCTTGTGGTGTCCAGACATCAGCACGTGGATGCTGTGTTTGTGTTTGTGCAGGTACAGGTCCGATCCACATGAACGCGGTGCAGTGTTCGGGCCGGGAGAGCTCCATCACACAGTGCCGCTTCCAGGAGGTTCAGCGTTACTCATGCAAACACTCCCAGGATGCATCTGTCCGCTGCAACGTCCCCAACACCGGCCTGAGCGCGACGGTACGTGCAGAGACACTTACTGTAATAGTACAGTAATCTTCTGCTTTGAGTCATTGGCAGCCTGTAGAAGCGGATGGTAAAAAGTTGTGAAATTTGGCACACTGGTCGAGGACCGTATGCACATTCATCATAGCAAATTTGGAGTCTCTAACTCAAACTCTCTAGCGCCACCAACTGTCCAAAGTTGCACTTATGTTATTCTAATAACCGTAAGGACTAGAAACAAAATTCTTTAAATTCTTCGCTTTTTTTAACTTTTTTTAAACTGTTGCTCTGTTTTTCACAAAAATCAAACCAGGTCGTCTTCAGATCATGCAGAAAAAAACTAAGTCAAACCCTTCAAATTAGTCAAAGCATTCTTGAATAACACGCGAACGAATTTGACGAAGAGCGCGCCATAGTGGTTGTGGCTGTATCTCTGCAACACTTTAACATATTCAGACCAAAGTTGGTGTGTGTAAAGACAACCATGACCTGAGGACACCTGCACAGTTTCAGCACAGCGCCACCTAGTGGACAGGAGATAGAATCCTTAGATCATGCCAATAACATCGATACCAATTATGCTATAATCGTCCAAAATTCCTATCCTGTCTGAGTTTGGAGTTCATTTGGAGGACTAAAGTGTAGACTTTGTTATAATTTTTTTACTTGTTATATTAAAATATTTTATTTACAAAGCACCCCAGCTTAATGTCTCTAAAAAGGAGTTTTTTATTTTCTTTGAAAACTTCTGACTTCTTGTAGACTGTTTGTCTGAATTTCACCAAATTTGATTCAGGTCACCTTCTCATCATGCTGACAAAACTTTACGAAATTCAAGTTGATTAGTTAAAATGTTCTTGAATAACACAAGAACAAATTCGATGAAGAGCACGCCAAAGTGAACATGAGGCTGTATCTCTGCAACACTCCAACATATTCTGACCAAACTTGGTGCGTGTTACGACATCCATACCTGCACAGTTTCGACATAACGCCACCTGATGGTCAGGAGTTAGATTCCGTGGATCATGCCAAGAACAACGATACCAATTATTAAATGTCCTATCTGCCATTTTGATTTTCTTTGAAAACCTCCTTTTTCAAACTTCTCTTTGACCAATTTTCACCAAATTTGATTCAGATCATGATGGCAAAAAAGTTATGGATTTTGTGCTAATATATGTCAAACTGTTATCGTTTAGCACATCCACAAAATTTATGGCATGATGCCGAAATGGTTTTGAAGCTGTAACTTTCTGACACTTTACCATATTGAAACACTAAGTGTGTCATTGTGACCATCAATTTTGTCACGGCGCCACCTATTGGTCAAAAGTAATTAGTAATTGAATCGTCTATAGATCATCTATAAATGTCTTTTTGCAGTCGTTCTGATGTTCCCTGCCATGCTCCTCATTGTCTCTCTTGTAGTGCTTGGCCCCTTAAATGCTGTCACAGTACTGTAGTTAGTTATAGTTTGAGCAAACATGAAGCAGTGATATTTCACCTGACGAGTGACGCTCGGGCTGCGGTGTCTCCTGTGATGCTCAGGTGCGTCTGGCGGGCGGGCGGGAGGCGGCGGAGTTGTTTCCCATGCAGAGGTAATTACAGCCCTGCACAGATTCAGGGAAAGAGCAGGAAACCAGAGAGAAAACAAACCCAAAATAGAGCCGCTGGACCGGAGCACATTTGAACTCGTATTAAAGCCTGTTTAAAAGCGGCTCTCGCTAAATAGACGGTGGAGAGGAACGTGGAAAATATTTGATAATGTGCATGAATTAGCTGTAATAGGGGGAGTTATTAGACTCTGGGTGGATTCCTGCGGATTCAGTCTCGTGTTCGGTCCGTCCCGCAGGAGACCTGGTTCTGGCCCAGCAGCTCCGGGTCCGAGGACATGCTTCTGAGCGGAACACACTGCATCGGCACCGAGATCTCCATCCAGCAGTGCCACAGGAACACACAGGTGTACTGCCCACGAGGAGGCGGAGCCAGAGCCGCCGGAGTCACCTGTGCGGACGCACACACACACACACACACACACACACACACACTCACTCACACACACACACATACACATATACATATACACACACTCTCAGATGCTAGACTAGGATATGACATCAGTCTCCAGGACTTCATATCATATAATATTGATTATTATATAATATATTAAAATGTAACAAAATAATACATCTTTTGAAAATCATAAAAAAACAGTCAAAATAAAATACTAAAAATTAATTAAATTATACAAATGCCAAACTAACATAAATAAATATTAAAATTTAAAATAAAACAGTAAAGTACTTACTAAAAATTAAATAAATCATAAAAATTTCAACAAAATAATTTGAAAATTAATACACAATAAAATGCTTACAAATTTTTTTTATATAAAAATGTCAAATTAATATAAATAATTTAAAATAAAATGCTTACTTAAAATGAATTAATACATAAGAATGTCAAAATAAAGTAAATAATTTAAAAATAAAAACAAAATGAAAACCCTTACTAAAAAAGGTGTAATATTTTATCAGTTTACTTGCATGTCATATCATCATTACTCATGAACATGCAAATCTGTTGATAAATTATTGAAATATTAACTTAAAATCTCAAAGTGACTTAAAGTAAATATTTCAGAAGGGGTTCAGGCGACCAAAAAGTGTCGGTTTAATATAATATTTTTGATTAAAGTGATTTGCTGCAGTATGTTGGACATTCATGCAGCTGTTAAATGTGCTGCTCTTGTGTATATGTGATGAGCGTGTGCTGTGTGTGTCCTCAGCGGCTCCGGATCTGGTGATAGATGCGCAGCTGGTGCAGGAGTCAGCGTATCTGGAGGACCGGCCGCTGCACCTGCTCACCTGCGCTCACGAGGAGAACTGTCTGTCGTCCTCCGCCGCGCGCATGAGCTGGCCCTACGGTCACCGGCGGCTGCTGCGCTTCTCCTCACGCATCATGAACCTCGGACGAGCCGACTTCAGACCACGAGCCTCGCGAGAGTCCTGGACCTGGCACCAGTGCCACCGGTGAGTGTGTGTGTGTGTGTGA